TCTTTCCCTTTCCACTGAACTTATGAGTTGCATCACAAGCTGTGTTAAGGCTTTCCCCTTTATAGGTCAATCTCACCAGAGCAGGCTCTGGAACTAAAAGGGGGCCCTCGCCAGGAGGCCCTGGGACAGCTGCACCAGTGTTATGTTTTAACCACGTGACCAGTCAATGAACTGCACTTCCACCAAGTAAGTGTAGGTAGAGATGAGGGCAGGAGAAATGATCAGGTTGGAAAAGTGGACATCTTGGTGACTTACTACTTAAATACAGTTTAAAGCACAATTTCTGAATTCTTGAATCTGCTTCTAAAAGGCTAAGTATCAAGTTTATCTCTCTTCTTTAAAACTCTGATCTCTCTTACTCCCCAACCTACTCCCCCCAATGATTACTGCATTTCTAAATACAGTAAAGGATCAAGCACAAAATTTGTTTCCGTTCTGCCTAGGCGTGAAAAGACCTCTACCACCTAAACTGACCGTTTTTGGACTCCTACCTCCAAAACAGGAAACCCAGAGGGTACCTCCTGCAGGCTTTTGTCAGGGGCACTGCCTCTTAAAGGGCACAGACATCTCAGAACACTTAATTCCCCCCTCTGAACACTGTCAGCGGTTGGGAATGAAATTGGTTGTTAGACGTTTATGATAAAACTCATTTAGACATTTCAACGCCTTTGGAAGAATACTCACCCAGCTCATCCACAGGCATCTGAGAGGGCCTTGTCCTCAAGAATAAGGTAAAGCCTTTCCTCTCTATGCACCTGCAACCTTCCGGCTCCCAAAACCCTGGATGGGGAGCAACCCCCTTTCCCCCAGGCCCAGGGCTCAGAAAAGTATTCCTCTCCCAGGTTGAGACCACTAATCCTCTGGGACACCAAGTAGGGGAAAGGGGATATGAAGTACTGACAGGGGCCGGCAGAGAGGCTAAAGGAATGTGTCCGGGCTTCTCACCAGGAAAGCAGAGAGGATACCCTGCAGAGCGTCCAGCTTCTCCTCTTCCTCCTCCTCCTGAAGGACACCCAGGATGTAGGCACCGTAAACGGCTCGGTCCACTCCCAGCGCCTCCAACCGTCCGTCTAGCCACGATTCAAAGCCGCTGCCCCCTCCATCGCTCTCGCCGGAGGTAGCAGCGGCCACCGCGCTGGGCGCCGCCATCTTGGGGCCAGGGTCCTGCCAGCCCCCAGGGCGCCTACCGCAGCGCCTGACGGGCCGCGCCACGGGCTCACTGCGCATGCTCAGAAGCGAAGTCCACGCCCCAGCGCGCGGGGCGTGGAACTTAGACGACCCGTAGTGACCTGCCGGGGCGTTTTGTACCTTCTAAGTAGAGCGCGTCTTGGTTTACGCACGGTCATGTGTTCTCTCAGGAATCCTGGCTGGTGAGTAGTCTTAACCGACTCTTTTATTTACAGTTGGGGAAGTTCGGAGGGGTTCAGTGACTTGACCAAAGTCACGCGGCTAATAACTAAACGGGACTGGAACTCACCTTCGATTCTAGCGCCTCGACCGGCCTCACCAAGCCGCCCTTTCACGCCACTCGTGGGAAGCTAAGCCACCCACTCCCACACAGCTTTCAAGGAGGAAACAGCTGGCTCTGTCCGGAATGCCCACTGTCTCTGTCAGCTGCTACCACCTGCACCTTTCCATGCTCCTCCCGTATGAAAACTCAAGCTCCAGAAAACCTTCCCTGATTCCTTGCAGTCTGTGTTAAGACCACTCCAGTGTGCTGCGGTTGCTTTTCTGCATTTACCACGCTGCGCTTAACGCGCTACCGGACACATAGTGGGTGCTCAATAAATGAACAGGCAACCTCGAGTCATTTCTTTCATTCACTCAGTCAACACTTACACAGAAATAACTCCGAGGAGCCTTCTTTACCCATTGTCAAGCATTATCTAAGAGCTTTTGATACATTATTTCTTTAATCCTCCCAACAACCGTGTGAGGAGATGCTTTTATTGTCCACATAGTAAAGATAAGGAAAATGAAACACAGAGTCACACAGTTACAGGGAGCCCAACCAGAGGCAAGTGCGCCTGCACAGCAGGTGGAGCCTCAGATGGCTCTCAAAACACCTGGCTCTGGGCTGAAATGAATTACCCAAGAACCCGGGTTAGCTTTCCCTGAACTGCAAAGGGGGCTGGCAGGTCACTGGCCTGACTGTTTCATTCACTAAATATTTATTGGCATTGCTGCTAGGCACTGAAATATAAAGATAAATGTCACAAAAGCTCTCCCTTCAAAGGGTCTTCAGTGGAAACAGACATGTTTAATCATGACAATACAGTGAGATAAGTGTTTCAATATCTAGTGGAGATTGCAGTAGGTTGCCTGGAAGAAGATTAGGTTAACATTGCCTGTTGGATTGGAGTTGGAAACTGGAAATGGGAGATCTAGGAAGGCTTCTGGTGGAGGTGATACTTTCACTTTTTTGAAGAACAAATGAGAGTTCTTTAGGCAGAAAGACTAGAAGAGAAAGGGAGCAGACCCAGATGCATGGCACTGTGTGGGCCCTCCAGAGAATCATGGGTGGCTTGAGCAGCAGAGTTCAGATTGAAGATTTTCACGGGATGACAACGAAAGGAAAGGAAGGGTCTTATATACCTGGCAGAGCACCTCCTGAGAGAATCCTCTACCCTTATTATCGTTGGGATAATGTAAATGAATGAACATGGAACATTGTAAAGCTCAGTAGAAATACAGGATACTGTGACTATTAGCCCCATGGCTTCTGTGTGCTCCCTGAGTTAGAATGTGACAATGGAGTCAGAGGCCAGAGTCAGCCCCCAAAGGCTTGCCCCTATTTCAGATCCTCAGATGTACTTTCTAACCCAGTGGCTGTCTTGCAGGTGGGGTTTGTTGGTTAACAGACTTGGGAGCCATCGTGACTCAAGGATCATAGTTTGATGTCAGAGCCCCCACGATCAGAAAAGGAGCACAGGGGACTTCCCTGGTGGCACGGTGGGTAAGACTCCAAGCTCCCATTGCAGGGGACCGGGGTTCAATCCCTGGCCAGGGAACCAAATCCCACATGCATGCTGCAACTAAGGAGCCCACATGCTGCAACTAAGGAGCCCACATGCCGCAACTAAGACCAGGTGCAACCAAATAAATAAATATTAAAAAAAGAAAAAGGAGTACAAAATTTTGTTCCTTTTTAAGTTTTCGCTTTGAAATAATTACAGACTCACAGGGAGTTGCAAAAGTAGTACATAGAGACCTGTGTACCTTCACTCAGTTTCCCCCAATGGTAACATCTTACATAGCTATAGTATAATATCAAAATCAGGAAATCGATATTGGTACAGTGCACAAAGGCTTTTTGAAGACATCCTAGAAACTTCTTACAAAACTGAGTGAAGGCTCTACAGACCCTGCATTTTACAAAATCCTCATTGGCTATTTTATTACAAAAGTTATAGCTCATAGTTCAAAAAACCAATTCATACCACTGGACAAATGACAGAAAGCTTACAGAAAAAATCAAGATGGCTTTTTACACTGTAAAAAAAAAAAGTCATTTATAACTTTTAAAATATGCAAATTAAACTTGCAATGAGATAACATGTTTTCTTCTCAGATTTAAAAGTCTGATAATACTGTGTTGATCTGACATTGGGTAACAGGCACTGGAAAATGTTTCTGCAGAAAGTAAATCGGTACAGTCTTGTTGGAGGGCAATTTGAAAAGAGCCAGCATTTATCCTTCTGGGAATTTATTATAATACATGCATGTGTGCAGAATGACATATTTATAAGGATATTCATTGCAGTGACGCTAATTGTAGTGAAAAGACAGGAATAGTCTACATTCTGTCTATAGGAGACTGACTCAAAAAAGCCACAGAAGGAAGTATTGTGCAGCCGTAAAAGTGGAAGAAGCTCTTTACGTAGTGACGTGTAACAAAATTCAAGATACATTGTTAAAGAAAAAAGTGAGGCTCAGAACAGTATGTAATGTTTGCTACCATTTGTGTTTAAAAAGTTGGAGGGATGGGGAGAAATACACACACGTATCTGACCTGGCATGTGCATAAAATATCTCTGGAAAGATACACAAGGGAATGTGAAGAGGGTCGTCGCTGAGGAGGAGAACTCAGGGAGACTAGTTTTAAAACATCTTGTTTTAAAAGTATGAGCTGTTTGTTATATTAATTTACCTTGCATCTTTTTAAAATATTGATTTTATTTTTGGCTGCATTGGGTCTTTGTTGCTGCACGTGGGCTTTCTCTAGTTGCGGCGAGTGGGCACTCCTCTTGATTGTGGTGCACGGGCTTCGCATTGCGGTGGCTCCTCTTGTTGCGGAGCACGGGCTCCAGGCGTGAGGGCTTCAGTAGTTGTGGCACGAGGGCTCAGTAGTTGTGGCTCGCGGATTCTAGAGGGCAAGCTTAATAGTTGTGGCACATGGGCTTAGCTGCTCCGCGGCATGTGGGATCTTCCCGGACCAGAGATTGAACCTGTGTCCCCTGCATTGGCAGGCAGATTCTTAACCACTGTGCCACCAGGGAAGCCCCATCTTTTTGTTTTAAAGAAATAATGCCTCCAATCTCCTTAGCTTCCTTCCCTACCAAGAGGTAACCTCTATTCCTGAATTTGGTATTTGTCCTCCTCTTGAATGTTTTTAAACATAGTACATATTACTACATATGTAATACATATTATAACATGTGTGGGTATGTATCCATATGTATGTATCCATAAACAATATATCACATTGTTTTGCATGTTAGACTTTTCATTCTTCAGTATGCTTTTTTCACTTAAGATCTTGAAAATATTTACCCATGTTGATACATGTAGCTCTTATTCATTCATTTAAAGCACTGTATAGTATTCCAGTGCTTGAATATAGCCCAGCTGATCCATTTCTCCACTGATGGACATTTAGATTATTTCCCAGTTCTTCAAACAGTGCTTCAAGTCACATTCCTTTTCATGTCTCCTTGACCACCTGTGGAAAAGTTTCTCTAGGCCAGCAAGCATCAAACATATTTTTGCCACATCCTCTTAGCAGGAAAAATATTTTTGCTGTGCACTCCTAAAATATGAATATGTATTTATTTATGAATTACATATGTGAACCACTATTCCAAATTAGTATGTCCATCATAAGATATACAAAAAGATAACTGTAAAAAGGGCAATTGAAAAGAGAAGGAAGTAATATATTACAAATATTTATTTATTTGTAGTACAAAAATCATTAGTGAGGGACTTCCCTGGTGGTCCAGTGAGTAAGGCTCCACGCTCCCAATACAGCGGGCCCGGGTTTGATCCCTGGTCAGGGAACTAGATCCTGCATGCTGCAACTAAGACCTGGTGCAGCCAAATAAATAAGTAAATATTAAAAAAAAAAATCTTTAGTGAAAATAATGTAGCTGAATATGCTTCATTACTTTCCCACTAATTATTTTTTTAAAATTTTAATTGTGGCAAAATGCCCATAATATAAAATTTACCATCTTTTAAATGTACAGTTCAGTAGTGTTAAGGATTCATTACTGGCAAGAGTTTCTCTTGAACTTCAGTGATTTTCTCACCCATTGATCAGCTGACTCTCTCATTGAACCTGAGAGTTTGTACTCACACTTGTGTGTGAGTCATTAGGATTATTTGTAATCTTAATCTTGCTTCTTTGGAGGAATCTTGTTAAGCCTCTTGTTCACTTTTGGGGGCTAGGAAAATCCAAATAGCATAATCTGTAATTCCATTTATCTGGGGATGTGTAAACTGTGGAGAACAGTGAAAAACACGTCGCCAAACCCTGAAAAGAAAACACAGACAACCCCTCCAAATATGCAGCTCCCTTACCCTTTACCCATATAACTCACTTGCTTTACTTCATAACCCAGGATCTCTGACAAGAGCACAGGGAGGGTGCCAGCATCAGTCAGTTTCCTAAAGATTAGTAAAACTTACTTGTTTTTCTTTTGGATAAAAAAATATATTTAAATACTAATGCTTCCTTTTGGCACCTCTGTGATTATCTTGTGTCCGAGGGGTGCACATCTCTCTTTGGAGACCAGGATATACCTAGAAACAGAATTGCTGAGTTGAAGGGCATAAACCTTGTGGATATCACCATATTGCTCTCCCAAGGGCTTGTCCCAGTTTGCATTCCCACCCTTGCCTTCACGTTTTTACTAAAACTTGCTTTT